AAGAAAAAAGAAAGGCATAAAGGAGAGAGACATGTCTTCCATGACCTTTCCTTATACAAGTTGTGCTGGTTTCCCTAGTATTGTGTACTGTCTTACCCTTCACCAAAGTTACCACTTATCTATTGTCTATTTAGTATTTCCCTCTCAACTTCTCTTAAAGAAGTTTAAAGTAAAAGCGAAATTTCCTTAAAAATAAAGTGAGCGCAAAGACCCAAAAGAAAAATAGACAAGGACACGGAGAGTCTGTTTATGGAAAATTACAGATAGCATTGAAAAATATTGACGATACTAGGCTTCACTCATAAAAGCACAAATTAAAGCTATACTGAGATACTCTTTTTCACCCAAACACCAGCCATACCATCTTACAGTGAATGAAGAGATCAATTGTCAAGTCCTACCCGTGCACTGCTTCCAGTCCTCCTGTTTTTTTAGTCCCCAGCTCTTAAATATGGACGTCAAGTTTTATCACATAAGGAAAGAAAAGCCTCCTCATACAAAATAAATCAGTACAAATAGAAAAACAGGAGAACTATACCCCAGTCAGAAAAGAAAACACGAAAAAAGAAAAAAGAAAAAGGGGGAGGGGAACCCCTAAGATAAAGAGATGATTAAGTTGTGAACAAGGACAGGATTTTGTGGGGAAAAAAAAAAAAGGAGGAGGAGCTGAAAATAATTGAAAAGTTAAGTAGAAGGGAATTAGAAGATAAAATTGAGAAAATCTTCCAGAAAATAAAACAAACTGTAAAAGAGGAGCAAATAGTTATACTATGGGTGAATAACTTTAAAGTTAAAAAAAATTTTAACTGGTACATTAGGAGAAATTAAGTGATAAATTTCTTGTGTTATTTCTGCAGTATAACTTCTTAGAAGTGGAATTTAAATGAAAGGGTGAAAATTAATAGTGCCAATTTATTGCCTTCTATAAAAATTGTACCAGTTGACATTTCCATCTACTGTTCGATGAGAGTGTGTTTGGCTCCTATCTCTGCCAATTCTGTTTAAAAATGATAATCATTGTCTAATCTGATGGATTAAAAAGTGATATTTTACGTGAATTTCTTTTAATAGTGAAGTTGAACAGTTTTTCATGTATTTATTGGACATTTGTATTTATTCCCTTATGAAGAAGTTGTGTTTAATCTCATTCTTTCTGATTAGTCAGTGCTCTTTATTTATTTAGGGATTAACTGTCATGTGTTACATACATTTCTCCTCAGTGTGTCTTTTGGGTCTCCTTTCCTCCTTTAAACCTTTCAGTAGTTCAAGGTTTTTGTATTGTCAAGTGTTAGTCTTTTCATTTGTGACTTCTAGGGTTTGTATCAGACTTAAGACTTTTTCTGAACCATGATTATAAATATGTTCCCACCCCGCGCTCCCATATTTTCTTTCAGAACTTTTTTGGTTTTATTTTTTACATTTAAAGTCTTGATCTACCTGGGACCTTTTCGGTTGTAAGGATTTAGATAGAAATGTGGCATTATTTATTTATTTTTTAATGACTAACCAGTTGTTCTAACACACCATTTTTGACTAATCCATTTCTTCCCCTCCTGATTTGAAATGCCATCAGTTTCATTAAATACCAATTCTCATGTGTATTTTCGTTCATTTTTGGACTGTATCCTGTTCTGTAGATCTCCTTGTCTATTCTTGGGCCAGATTTTGCTATGCCAATTACTATAATTTTAGAATTTTTTTTTCACTTACATCACCTTATTTTAAAATTTTATTTTTATCAAACTATTATGGGTAAATAAAAAAATGAATTCTAAAAGGCTTATAATAAATCACTGCCTTAGTTCCTTCTTACTTGGAAAGGCCAATACCAATTTTGATTTTTTTAAAATTTTTTTCTTTGTGGAATCTTCTTGGATTTGGTGTTCTGAAATTTTATTTTGATGTGCTATAGTGTGAACCTTTTCATTTAATGTGTTGAGTATTTTGAGGGCCCTCTTAAATTATAAGCTCATGTCTTACAGTTCTGAGCTAATTTTATATGTATGTGTGTGTATGTATATATGTGTGTGTATATTTTATATATATATATATTTAAATTTCCCCTCCTTTCTGTTGTCTATGATCTCTGTTTCTGGAAAATGTGTTAATGGGATGTTACACTTGTTTATCATATGTGGGAAGCTCAAGATGAGCAATGGGGAGAGGAGTAGGAGAGGAGGTCAGACAGCTGAAGGGGAAGGTGTGTACCAGGTCTTGTAGAGCCATTAGGTTCCCATAAGGATTTGGGGTTTTAAGTGAGGTG